GCGGGACCTCACCTGGCCTCACCTCCCGAGTCCCCTCCACGTGTCCTACCAAGGGCAGGCAGGCCAGCCCCACCCCGTAGTCTTTGGGGTTCCGGCTGGCTGTGGTCCGCCCTGCCGCTCTGGGAGGGAGTGGGTTCGGGAGGCTCCTGGCCGCCCCACCCCCGGCTGGAGGCTCAGAGCAGGTGTGCAGCAGGCCCCACAGGCCCCTGGCCCGCTGCTCCCTGGGCTGGGGTCCCGAGCAGGCAGGCGGGGAGGGAGTGGGCTGCTGCCCTCCCTGTGGGTCGCCCGTGGCCACAGCTACCAAGGTGGGGGGAGCAGGCCAGGCTGAGCGGGCGGGAGGCCAGGGCAGGGATGAAAAGGCCCTTCACGGCCGCACAAAGGCTGTCTGTGAGCTTGGGCGCCTGGCCTCCGGGCCCAGTGGTCAGACTGAGCATTAAACAAGCTTATTTGCCGAAAGGTGGTGGGGCTGGAGGAGAGCCCACGGTGCCCAGGCCCGTGGCAGGGTCACGAGGCGCCCACTTCTGTGGGGCTCTCAGCGCGCGGAGCTGCCGGTCGCTGCTCACTCCGGTCCTTGTCCTCCCTTCTCCATCCTCGCTTAACGTCTCTGCTCGCCGTCCACGCCTGCCCGCATACCAGTCCCTCTGCCTGGCATTTCTTTCCCCCTCCTCAGATGGGGCCTGCTGTGGGGAAGCTCCCTGACAACGGCTTCTGTTCATGGCTCCCCAGAAGGATAGATCTGGGGAATAGATTTGCTTCCCCCTCTGGCTACGGCAAATTGAGAGAATAAAGAGGCACGTAGATGAGGACAAGAAAATGCCTGACCCTCCTTGGCAGCTGCAAAAGGCGGCCGGTGACTGAGCGCAGGCTGCGGCTCTGGCCCACGTGTGCCGCTGGGGCACCCACCTGGGCTGGCAGGGAGCTGGCTGGCCCCTGGGCCCTGGCTGCTTGGGTGCAGATGAGTCCTTGAAGCCCGGATCAGCCTCTGGGGGTCTCCCGGTGATGGTCAGCTACAGCAGGCGCAAAGCCCGCAGGGGGGCAAGGGCCATGGTGCCCAGGCCAGAAAGGCCCCAGGGCAGAGGCAGCAGCTGACGATGGCCTTGACAGCACAGTCACCACCTTGTGAGGGCTGTGAGAGGCACGGTCCAACCCCCATTCCACAGGTCGGGAAGTGAAGGCAGGCGGCGAAGGTCCCAGGTGGTCCCAGGGTGAGGCTGTGATGGAGCCGGGATTTGGACCCAGCCCTCCTGATTTGGAAGCCAATGGATTCAGCCCGTCAAGCTTCAGAGACTGGCCGAGTCTTGAAGGGGCTGGAGGGGGTGTGCACAGCAGGGATAAGGGGGCCTGGGCTGGCGTGTCTGGCAGGGAGGGTCCAGGCTTCTGTGGGGAGGAACAGAGTGAGGCTGGGTCACTGGGGGCAGACAGGGAGAAGGTCTGGGTGGGTCTCCGAGTACCCCGCTCAGAGGGCCCTTCTGCCCCCAGAGACGGCTCCCAGGCTCTGGCAAAAGGGCAGAGGGCGACCACTAGTTCCTGGGAGTGAGCCCCTGCCCTCCAGGGGGTGTGGAGCCTGGCACTCCTCTTCCTGAGCTTGGGGCTGACTCCTTGGACGCCACCAGGTTGGCTGGCCCTGATACCCAGTAGCCCTGTGGTGGCCTCTCTGGCCAGAGGCCTGGCAGTTGGAGGTGAGCTTTGGCTGGTGGTGGTAGGACAGGGAGGTGCCTGGCTGCCACTCTGTCTTGGGCGTGTGGTGAGCAAGTGGGGACCCGTGGTTTGTTCATTTATCTGGAGGACAGGCAGTCTGTGAGCCCTAGACCTCAGGGCCTGCCAAGCGGTGGGTAGACCCAGGCCTTTTTTCTGCTCAGCCCCGGAGAGCCTGAGGCAGGCATGCCTAGGGCCTGGAGCCTTCCATGGCAGCTGCAGGCTGCAGACCCCAGCCCTCCCAGGCAGCGACAGGGGGAGGCCTGACAGAGTCACTTTCCCCTTCCTCACAGGGGAGTCTTTTAAGTTGGTGGTGGACCAGGGGGGGCCCCACACACCAGCACTGCTTCAGCCTGGGCCCTGGGAGGGGAGGCTTCCACACAGTGGACGCAGGGGCCTTCCGGCCCTGAGGGGCCTCCTTGCCAACGGTGCTCCTGAAAAGAGGCAAAGGCCTGGGCACGCCCCGGGAATATGACAGCAGTCCCTGCCTGCAAGCTGAGCCTCAGAACTGATCCAGCTGAGGCCTGGGAGAGGCACCAGGGGCAGGGCCTGGGAGCGGCACCAGGGGCAGGGCCTGGGAGCTGGGGGCCTTGTAAAATTGTCATGAAATGATCTGAAGTTTACAGAAAAGTTACAAGAATTATCCGGTGAACTCCAGTAGGCTCTTCAATTGGATTCACCGACCGCCAACATCTTGCCATGTTTGCTCTTCTCACCGTCTTCCTGTCTCTATTTACTCACTTAGCTGATTGCTGAACCATTTGACAGTTAAGGTGCAGACATCATGCCCCTTTGTCCCTAAATACTTCCTAAGGACAAGGACATTCTCTTACATAAGCAGAGTCAGTTATCCAAATCAGGAAGTGAAAACTGACATGGTACTATCACCTGAAGTACGGCCTTATTCACAGTTCACCAGTGACTCCATAATGTTCCATCCAGGAACGCACGGTGCGTTGTGCTGTCACAGCTCCTTAGTCCCCAACCTGGAACAATTCCTCACCCTTTCTTTGTCTCTCATGACCTTAACGTTTTTGAAAGCCTAGTTATTTTAAGACTGCCCTGGAATTTGGGTTTGGCTGTTTATTCATGATTTGCCTCAGGTGGACACGTTGGCAGAAGAACCCTGGAAGTACCTTTGTGTCTTCCCAGAGCAGCCCCCTCTCCAGGAGCTGGTGAGCCTGGAAGCAGAGGGTGTGGGTCTGTCTTGTCTGTGCCCTGGGGAAGCTCTCAGGGGTGGAGCCCCCAAGTGTGAAACGTGCCCCAGGGACCGCAGGTGGGCTGGCCACAGTGTTGACGGAACCACAACTTCCCAGGGAGCTTCTCGGGAAGCACAACCTCTTCAGGGGCTTCAATCCCCAGCAGCACCTAACAGCCAGCACAGCGCCCACCTCAGCTTAACCTGAGCCTCGGTCTTCTTGGCAGACCACAGAGCAGCTGCTATCAATGAGACGGTGTGCTGTGATGCCCAGTAAGCCCATTCTAGCATCCCTGGATCACAAGAGAGATCACTCAGGGCTGGGGTGTTGCTGCGAGGCTCCTCAGGCTAGGATCCTTGACGGGGGAGCAAAGTTGGTGTGGGCTGCCTGGGGTTACCGTGCAGGCCTCTCAGCCTGTCCCTCTCGTTCTCTGGGGCCCCTGGGTACCCTAAATCCTGCTAACCCCCAACCCATGAGCAGAGAAAGGCTCCTGCAGAAAACGCTGCCCGGAGACTGATGTGCTGACGGAGCCCCAGCTAGTGCGGGGCTGAGGGCTTACCCTTTCCTGGGGCTTCCCTTACACTGACCACAGACACCCCTGCCCACCCCTCTGGCCCTGTTTTGTCTGGAGGCAGCAACGTGCAGGCATCACAGTTTCTTAGGCTAGAGAGGCCGCTGCGCTCTAAGCCTCAGACACTCGGGGGGCGTGTGGAGGCATGTGCAGGCGCTAGGCCCCAGGCCCTGGGGGCTGCTCCACTCTGCCCAGGTTAGGGCCGAGAAGCAGCAGGGCCGGCTGCCCCTGGGGTGTGGGGCAGGCCTCTCCTCTCCACCTCCGGCAGCAGTGGGCCATATTTGCTCACCGGCCGCGCTGGGCAGGAACCCTGGTTCCTGGAGAGGGCAATGCCTCACCCTCCCGGCGCCTTCTCCAGGGTGAAGGCTGCCCTGGGGCTGCCCTGTGCGGGTGTGGGGAAAGGACCCTTTACAAGTGTCACTTCCCCAGGACCTACAGAGCCCAGCAGTTCAGATGGGGGGGGGGGGCCCAGGCTCTGCTGGGAGTCGAAGTGCCCTGCCTCCCCCCGGCCCCCCTGCCCTGAAGCTCGCTGCCAGCCCGAAGTTCTTCCAGCTTCCTCCCGAGTGGGCCTGTTGGTCCCTCAGTGCCCTCCTCCCCCATCAACCTGTCCGCTCATGGCAGGGGTGGCCTGACCCCAGCGGGGGCTCTGGGGCCACACGTGGGCGACTCGGCCTCCATTGTCTCACCTGCGAAGCGGCAAGCACCGCGCTGTGCCCCAGAGCCCGGCACTCAGCGCTCCTTCCCAGTCGGTCAACGGCGGGGGCGACGTCCCCGTCGGCCCTACCGCCCAGGCCCCCACACCTGTCCTTGGCTTTGCAGCCGAGGGCCCGCAGGAGCCCGTGCCCACCCTGTGGAACGAGCCCGCCGAGCTGCCGTCGGGAGAAGGCCCCGTGGAGAGCACCAGCCCCGCCCGGGAGCCGGCGGTCAGCGGCCCGCCCTCGCCCACCGCCGCGCCGAGCCCCGAAGACAGCACCGCGCGGGAGCGTCTGGACCAGGGCGGCGGTACGGGCTGGGGCGCGGGGGCCGGGCGGGCCGGGAGGAAGGGGTGGGAGGGGGGCCGGGCCTCGGGGCTAACGCGGCCCTCCGTCCTCCGCAGGCTTGCTGGGACCCGGCGCCATCGCGGCCATCGTCATCGCCGCCCTGCTGGCCACCTGCGTGGTGCTGGCGCTCGTGGTCGTCGCGCTGAGAAAGTTTTCCGCCTCCTGAAGCGAATAAAGGGGCCGCGCCGCAGCGCGACTCGGCGGCACCCCCGGTGCGCGCCCCCGTATCTCCATGTGTCCGCGCGTCAGTGTGTGGGCGAGCGGGGTGGGGGTGGGGGGGGCAGGCGACGTGCACGTGCTCGGGGCTCGAGGCGCGCACATGCGCGCACACGCGCGCGTGCGTGAGCGCACGTGCGCCGGGGCCCCGCAGGAGCGCGGGTGCGTGCGCGATGCGCGTGCGCCGGAGGCCGCCGGTGTGCGTGAGCGGGGCTTGCGGAGTGCTCTGGTCAGAGTTCTCGGCGAGGCCTTGGGAGCGCGGAGTCCCCGTGCCGCAGTCCCCTGCTCGTCCCGCAAACTGCCCGGGGCCTGCCCTCTTCCGCACCCTCAGCTCCAGCCCTGGAGCGCTGCGAGCGCGGACCGGCGTGAGGCCCCGAGGGCAGGAGAGGCAGCGGCCTGCCCCGGGCCCGGCGCCCTGCTTTCTGCGCCTCGCTGGGTGATGGTGGGGTCCGCGGGACCCTGGGCTGTCCCGGCTCCACAACCAGAGGCCAGTGACTTTGGGGGTTTGGGGCGTCTTACTCGCAGCCAGCGTGCTATCTGCAGGCTCTGAGCCCCAGACCTGCACCCTCAGGACCCCTGGGGGCCCCTCTTCCCCGGGGAGCCCAAGGAGCGAATGAGCAGAGGGGTGAAGCCCAGGTGCTGTGGGCCCCTGTCCTGGCTCCGCAACCCACAGCCCCAGACCGCCTCCCTCCCCTGGCTTGTGTAAGCTTGTGCAGGGGGCTTCGCGGAGCCTTGGGCAGAGCGGGCAACCCCACGCAGGACGGCTGTTTGTTTAGAGAAAGAAAACAAAAAGGCTTTTCAAGCTCATCTTTTTTCAGTTCAACCCTGAAACTATGGCAGCTAAGTGAGGCATGAGGAACCACCCAGCCGTGCCACGCCCCAGCTTGGCCCTGGCACTGGGCCCTTGGTCACGCACTCTGTCTTCCATACTTCCCAGGAAGCCTAACTTTTATCATTTAGAGAGAGGGATTTAAAATAGTGGCTTACCTGCTCTGGGTGCAGCAGGAAAGAAGCCAGAACTGCGTCCTGTCCCCATCCTCCAAGGACCCTTGGAGTGAGGACCCTAAGGCCTAGAGGGGGCACTGTCTGCAAACCCCAGTGATAGTTTAACACCTGGGCCACAAGAAGATCCTTTTGAGTGAGTGCTGGTGGAGTGAGCTGTTCCTTTTTTTTTTCACCATTGTCTCTAGCAATTGTTTTGGCCTCCTTGGTTTCTCTGAGCTCCTGACTACCTGTTCTGGCTAAGACCAGTTTTCTCCTGGATACGCCAGATGGCCACACGTGGTACCCACTCACACTCCCCAAAACACATAATGGCTTAAGTTTCTGCTTATAAAAGACTGTTATGAAACTGACAGGTTTTCATGAAACTGTTTACATTATTACACATAAACGGCAGTAGCTGAAGCCCTCCTTAGAGCAGGTCACCCAAGTCAGTATGCTGTTTCCCAGCTCCAAAAAGAAAAGCGGGACATGGGCCAGGACCAACGGCTCCCCTCCCCAGCCCCGCCCTGCCAGGAGCAGTATGGGACTCCGAAATGGTCCCCCTCCCCCTCCCCTCACCCCTGGGAAACTCAGGTACTTCCCCTGGGGCTGCAGGGAGGAGGCCCCAAGAGCATCAGCCCCTCACTGGGACCAGGGGCGTCCCTCTCCAGTTGGACCAGCATGTTGGTTACGTGTGCATCTTCCAGGGATTCATCCAGTTCTCAAAGGGTCTGAGGTCTCAAGAACGCCAAGGGCCGTGCGGTGGCCTGTGGGAAGATGCTGCAACGTCCCACTTGATCTAAATCCTGGGCTTCTAAGTGTGTCCTGGCAGAAAGGGCATGGCCACAGGCAGGCAGGACTGGGCGGGCTGGGATTCAAGGCCCTCCACATTCCAGGACAGAGCCGGGTGTCGGGTGGCTCCGAGGGCCAGCTGCAGCCTCCGGTAACTGGCTGCCGCCTCTGGAGGCGGGAGGAAGTGTCCCAGGCCAGTGCCTGGCCAGGTGGGGAGCCGCCGTCCCAAACCTGGTGGTCAGATCCCTTATGGGACCACCACCCACTGACACCTCTGTGCCACAGTGTCCCAACTGCAGATGGGTGTCCCCCACTGCCTCAAACAGCTTATCCGGTTTCTGGAGTCCCTCCACAAGTAGAGGTCCAAATCCACTCCCGTCCTGAGGCCCCAACCCCGGCTGTTTCTTCCTCCACCGGAAGCCTCCTTAGCCCTTTCCCTGGGACACACCTCCTCCACTGGGCTTGAAGGGGGCTCTTCTCTCCCTGCCAGACCGAAACACCTCATTCTTGTGCGCACAAGGGTAATAAAAAGTAGACCTTCCTCTCTTTTATTTTATACATGATGCTTCTTTTAATGCAGCCAGAAATGCTATTTGCTTTACTCAGAACCATAACCCATACCGGATGCAGTGACCAAGTCATTTCTTTATAACACCTGGGCTCCGGAAGAGGCCAGAAGATACGAGTTACATCCAGCCCATCAGGGAGCCAAAGGTGGCATGGGCCCTCAGCCAAGCTCTGGTGGCCGTGAGGCAGGCCTGGCCGTGCAGCCAGAGACTGGCGGAGGCTTGGGGCGGAGGTGGACAGAGGCGCTTGGTCTCTCAGTCCTTTGAGTCGGAGGCCAAAGGACACTCGTCAAGCTCATCAGGCAAGGGTGGTCCATCTGTGCACCTGGCCGATTCTAACAGCTTCCAGGGGAGAGGACACGTGCAGGGGTCATAACATCATCACCTTTGCACCTGCCCTTGGCCAGGGACACCCTGGGTCTGGGGCCTCTCAGTGCCTGGGAAGTGCCCTGGAGCATGCCCGTCCTCTGTCTGCCCCTCCCAAGAGACAAGAAGAGGTGGTGTAACACTGTTTAAAATACTTTTTCATTTACAAATGCAGCAGAGAGACATGGGCACCTTTTCTGCAGTTCGTGAGCAAGGGGCCAAGCCACATGAGCACTAACCACGTAGCAGGGGTGAGGGGTGGAGGCGACTCCTGCCAAGGCACCCCAGGTCACACCCTGCTGCCTGCAGCGGTGTCCGGCCTTCCCGCTGAGCCCGGCTGCCCGCCACGACCTGCTCCCGCCCACCCATATCCCTCGGCTAGGCCGGGGGCCAGGGGTCACTGCCGATTTCGGCTGCCCAGCTTCCTGCGGTCCTTATTCTGGCTGCGCTGAGGGTCATCCATCTTGTGGACACGGAAACACTCCTTGAGGTTCTGGGACCGAATCTTCGGATTCAAGATCTCCTCAGTCATGTTGCTGGGGAACCAGCCTCTCTCCTGGTCATGCAGACGCTCGCCAAAGATCCACCCTGCGTAGGGAGGGGAAGGGGAGGGTCAGAAGCTCTCCAAGTGGCGCAGGCTGGGCCTCGCCCCGGCCTGTGTGGGGAGCAGAGGAAAAGGAGACGCAGGGTTCCAGCCGGCCTTTCCAGAGGTCCCCTGTCCTCAGACGCATTGCTGGAAATGCCCAGACCTGGTTAATCCCCATGAGCTGGGTGCGTGCTGCCCTCCCAGGGAGCGCGGTGTGTGCACAAGGCGGGGTCAGAACCACCGCGTGTCCCAGATGTATTGACTTTGGAACCCATTCCCAAGCTCTCAAACCATCCTAGGCTGCCCCACGTGAGGCCAGGAGACCCCAGGGGCCACCCCCAAAAGCACGAGGCATTGAGGAGCTGGTGGGGTGGTAGCTGACTGCGTGGTTCCCTGGCCGTGAATGCTACCATCACCCTCTGGTTGGGCAGCCCCTCCCTGAGCCTCAGCCTCCCGGGAGCTGGGTGGTCAGCCGAGGGTGGCCGTCACGAACTGGCCGAGTGCCCTAGCTCTCTACCCCCCATCCCTGTATCACAGTGTCTCTGCTGGGGGCCTGGGGCCCGAACCGCAGGTCCTGCTGGCAGGTCTGGGGCAGGGCTAAGACCTGGGACCTGAGGGCCAAGTGGGAGGGGCGTCAGGCTGTTTATATTTTGCAGGGGGAGGGGGAGGGCAGGAACCACTGTTCTCCCAATGCTGGGTGAGGCCCTAGGATTTGGGAAGGGTGGAAATGGCCTTCTCTGGAGGTCACCAGCCTGAGACTTTCCAGCCAGGGTCTTGAAAAAGAGGAGGAAATGGGGTTGGGGGGAGATGCTTTGTGTACTTTTGGGGATTTAGGTTAGGAACAATTGATGTAGAAATAAGGGATCAATTTTTCAGGGGAGGGGAGTGAAACTCTGGCACTGATGCCAACAGCAAGAGTGGGCGGGAGCCCCGGCGGGTGGCTCTCTGGCCCATGTGGGGCTATAAGCCTGGTGGTCACAGGCTCATCTGGAAGCTTGTTGCAAATACGGGGTCAGGGTCAGGGTCAGGGTGCTCCTGGCCATCACCCCTCCCACTGTGATGGGGGCTGATGCCAGGGCCGGATGAGGGGAAGGGACAGAGAGCCAGGTGCTCAGCCGGGCCTCATGCTAAGTGGGGGAAGGCGGACCTCACAGCTCCGGGGAAGGAGTGGAGGCACTGCGAGAGATGCCTGCTCTATGCGGAGAAAAGGCCAGCGGAAGCCACGAGGGGCAGAATGGTCTACGGGAGCAGAGAGGCAGCACGGCCCTGGGCTCTGCCTGCCTCTCAGCCGGCTCTTCCGTCTGCTTCTCCACTGCATCCCTCAGGCTGGGACAGAGCCCCAGGAGTGGGGGGCAGGGAGCCTTGAGTGGGAGAGGCACCCAGCCCCCGGGCCTCACCATCCTCTGTCTTGTCCAGGATGTTCAGGATGTCGGCCAGATCCAGCGTCAGCTCGTCCGGCTGCTGGGCCATGTACGGGTGCACACACTGGACCTGGGGGCAGTCTGAAGGGAGGAGAGAGGGGGGCGGCATGTCCTCATCACCACGGCACCCGCCCTGGCCCCCCACTTCTGCCTCAGCAGTTAGCAGGGGCACGCTGCCTGTCCCGGAGACAACGCAAACTCCCGCAGCAACTGAAAGAGGGCTCATTCGAGGGAGGGGCGTGTGGCTCCAAAGAAAAGGCCGTCAAAGCGCCAGGAGTTCTGAACAAAACAGGGATGAACAGGCTTGAGGGGCTCTTATTGAGACTTCAGAAGGAGCTGCTTGGTCCTGGGCTGGGCCCTGGGAGCAGTTTGGGGACAGTCAGGGCTCTGTGCGCTCGGTCAGGATGGCAGCGTCTCTATCAGGCAGCTGGACTTGCGCCCTTTTATATTTTGTAAGGTTTTCAGACAACTGGCCACCCCAGAGAACACTGGCGTTTGCCTTGTGGGCCCGAATTCTTCTTGGTTTCCTTGTGATATCTGTCACTTATGACCCAGTGGCTTTTATTTCTTCATTAACCATCAAAACGTTTGCAAAGCTCAGGCACAACCGTGTCCTCCGTGGGGTACTAAGCTTGCACCGGGGTGCTAGGGACCCCGGGGCAGGCAAAGCAGTCTTCCCAGCGGCCCCGCAGGCCCTTCAGGCAGAGTGCAGAGGCCCCTGAGGCTGACGCAGCTGTGACAGGCAGGGCCGCCACGAGGCTCCCTGGACCCTCCCCTGCCCCACCCGGCGGGTGCCCCCTCCCCAGTGGGCCACCTACCCAGCAGCCGGGACGTGAAGGAAACAAACTTGGTTCTTCGGTTGGGGGCCAGCGAGGTCATCCAACGCTTCATCTCGCTCCTGGGACAGGGAAGAGGACAAATGCCCCAACCGCAGAGCAACGGACCCCATGTGAGGGGAACCACTGCGCCAGGCATCCAGCAAGCTGGCCACTGGGTCCTGGGCCTGGCACAGGGCCGCAGCAGGATGGCGTGGACGGGGCCGGGAATCCAGTGGTGGGACGGGGGCAGAGCACTATAGAACCTCCCTGGTACATCTTTAAAGTCAGTGAGTGAGGGTGAGCCCACGATAGCCCAAAGTTAACCCAGAGGCGAGCCCTCAGCTGCCAGCTGCCCTGAGCCATGGTCCGTGGAATCGGGAGAGGCTGATGCCACCCCTGCCCCAGGCAGTCAGAACTGGACCGCGATGTGCAGGGCGACACCTGTAAGTTCTGGGCTAGGGGGTGCTGGGCACTGCACAGGGGCTGCAGGGCGGCTGGCCTGGCAGCTCAGAGGTGCAGGTGGGCCTGAGGCCACACAGCGACAGTGGTTCACTGGTCGGTCGGGCCCAAGGGCAACTCATCAGAACAGAGGGGCCCGCCCAGAGTCTGACGCCCAAGGGAACACGAACACACACACACACACACACACACACACACACACACACACACA